AGGGAAAGACATCTGCCCTTAACCTACTCTTTTGTTTCCTTTGAGAGTCTGCAAAGGGAAATTCTTTAATTTGTATCTAGTTCAGAGAGACAACAAAAAGCATAATTATGCTTGTGTTTTTAATTAACTACAAGTTAATAAGTAGTGCTTTAAGCTTAAAAAAATATAAAGAAAAGCTGTAAGTGGCAAGCTGATTCGTGTAGTAAGTGCAGTTAGAGAACAAGCAGAATCTGCTCGTGGTAATCCAAGCTAAGCAGAGGAACTGTTTTTCCTTGTTTGCCTATGGTTTAAGCTATGCCCTAAGGCAGATTTATATGGTCAGTAGCTTTGACACTGGGAAACCAGAACAGCTGCTTAACTGTAGTAGCTGTAGGTGCTTACCTAACAATAACTGGAGGGTTTGGGTCATTATTAACATTTGAGAGATGTCCCTGTCGTCATTCCCCTCATATTCCTCAGCTAATTTTAGTTTTTTGAGTTTTAACAAAATGAGGATGTATAATATAAAGATGTGTGTCATCTCTGCAGATATTACTGTTTCAAACAAAATTTTGAGCTAATACATGTCATGCTGTGTATTTCCAAAAGGATCCATGCCAACTGTGGTGAAGATCCACGATTTCTGTAGAATAATCTGCTTTGCCTTCTTGACTAATCCTTGCAGTCCCAGTGTACCCTAGAGATGGCTATTGATTTCCCCAACAGTCCTGTTAATATTACTTGGGACCGACTACCCCTGCAACAGTATGGACATGAGCAGATGAAACAAAACTTGTTGCTTCTCATTATGCTCTTTGAAAAAGAAAAGAAAGAAAAAAATCGATCCCAATTCCTTTTTTTCTAGAACAGATAAATCCCACGTAAGCAGACTGAGAACAGATGGATGTAAACTACACCTGCTGTGTATATTTCCAGTTTAGGAAAAAGAATTTGGTGGTGTCACCTGGTACAAAAATAAACTGATGTGTTAGAAAACGGTCATATAAAAACATTCTAGTGTTTCTCCTCAGAAGTCCTATTACATGCTGAATTTGTCACATTGGTAAACGTTGCTTTCTGTAATGCTCTATATTTTTTCATTGTATGTTTGATCATCTATACTGGCTGAGGACTGCTGTGTGGTAAATGCCAGCAATGGCTACCAAAAGTCCCATGTTTAAGATCAGACCTTTTACAGAAACAAAAATAGTAGTTCCTAATGTAGTGATATAGTAAACTTGCTTGGCTGCCCTCTGCTAAACCTTTCTTCATCCCTTACTGCTTCTCTGTCTATATATGTGCGGCATTAATACTCATGACTGAAGTTGCTTGCTTGGCTTGCTGTTCCAAAGGACTAAAATAAACCTGTGTGTGTCAAGGTGAGAGGATGAATATAAATGCCAGAGGCAGTTGGGCTGTTTTAGTAATCCTCGTTTCCCCGTTTCTCCATGTTTCATGAGTTTGTGAATCCAAGTGTATTTTTCCAATAGCACACCAAAATGTTCTTTACATAGTTTAGCGCAATTGGATAGAAAGGATGCTGAGCTCCATTTTCAGAAGGGATCCTGTGGCAGAAGGGAACATGAGAATAGTCAGAGACAGTTGCCTTTAAAGACATGAGTGTGGGGAAGAGCTTTTGTAAATGCTTACTTAAAAATAAACAGCCCTGTGGTTCTCTTCAGTTAAGCAGAACAAATTGCTCCTAAAATCTTTGTTGTAAAGTATTGTGTTAAAACAGTGCATTAGCATAAAGGGATTTTAGATCTGTAAACAATAATGATGTTCAGAATGTGTTCATATGGAAAAGTAACTTTTTGAGAAGTATTTTTGTCCTGCTTACAATACAAAGACTTAACTCTACAGTGCCCGGACGGGCTGGTTTAGTCATGTAATCTGTAGATTAACATTTTTTAGTCTAATTTATATAAATGTTCTCTTTTGTAGCTATTTTTATACCAGATTCTTCGTGGTTTGGCATACTGTCATAGGAGAAAGGTATTACATCGAGATCTGAAGCCACAAAATCTACTAATCAATGAGAAAGGAGAACTGAAGCTTGCAGACTTCGGTATGGCCTGAAATTATTCTGTAACAAATACTTTCTTCACTCAGCAAGAGACAGACATCTTTTCTTTATAAGGAAACATTGGGTTTGTAGTGAATTTGTGCATTCTCAGATGGAAAATGAAAGTCAGCCTTTTACAGGATATTAGTAATCAAAGCAATACGTGTATAGGTAATACTGTCGCTTGACTTGTGGTTTGAAAGTAGTCTTACAGCTTCCTTTGAAATTGACACTTGGTCAGATCCTTAAGGTGGAGCTCAAGTTGCTTTTCCAAACACTCCACAGCACTCAAAAGCAGAGTAACCACAACGGGAGAGAGAAGGGGTCTCTCCATGTGCTAAATTGTCAGGTGTCACTCCATCACTGATACGCCAAGTTCCTTTGGGATTTCCAGTAGCGTGGGGCATTCACAGTTTCCTGTTACCTTCTGTGTCAGGAAGGTCCTTTGAAAGTTGTGTTACCATTGTTTTTTCCCCTTCTGTGTGAATGAAAGTTGCTCAGAAGATTGCATCTGACATGATAGACCTAAATTTTATTGAAGATTTTACTGACAAACTGACAATGTTAGGATGGAAAACCCCTGCTGATCCAGCACTGATTTGGTCTGTTTCTACCGTTTCATTATTCATTTGTTGCCTTCTGCCTTTTGCAACGTAATTCTCAAATGGAAATAATGTGGATGGGTTTTCAAAGGGAGGAGGTGTCATATTGATCTAATGCTTTGCTGTTTTAATGAAATTTATAGGATTACTCCAGGTTTTGATCTGTTTACCTGCCTTCTATGCTTAAAAATGCTGATCATGAGATTGCCCTAAATACTGAGAGGCAAATCACAAGTTGTAGAAATGTATTTATTAGGGCTCTTTAATGAACATTAAGGGAAGGTATTTAGCAAGTATAAGAAGTTTGATTTAGCTCTTAAAAATTCTTTGTCAATTTCACTCAAAAAAAAGGTTTCAGCAAGCTGCACATAACTCTCTATTTCTCTTTTTGTCAAGGATTGGCTAGAGCGAAGTCTGTTCCTACAAAGACCTATTCCAATGAAGTTGTCACGTTATGGTACAGACCACCTGATGTTCTCCTTGGATCTTCAGAGTATTCAACTCAAATTGACATGTGGTTTGTAGAGCTTTATCTAATTAAATTTTTGTTCTCAGTCAAGTTGAAAAAATGTCAACTTTTTATTATATAGTAGCATTCAAATATTCATCCTTTGAATTTTTGAAGGCTACAACTGAGTTAGATTTTTAGAGAAAGGATTGGCAGACAGGGAAGATGCTATTATTTGTCTCTGAAAACAGAGAGTACCTTTTTATTGCTTAGCGTAAGCAGGCATTAGGCCCACAGTGTTAGGGGAAAAAAAACCAAACATGTTCCCCTAATGACATGATAACATAACATGGTGTTTTACTGTGAGCTTTAATATAATTGATACATTTGACATCTGAAGGAAGAGGATATAACTATGGCATAGGTTTTGTTTAGTCTTTGACAGTTCTTTTGTTGCTACATATCTTTCAAAACAATATTTCTAATAGCAGCATGTGGCTAACAACTAATTTAATAATTTGTTTTAATTGAGGAGAAATCACAGAAGCCTTTAAGAGCTGAAGGCTTAAATTGTTAGATTGTTTCTGATATATCTTTATTCTCTGTTTTTATAAAGGGGCGTTGGATGCATATTTTTTGAAATGGCATCAGGAAGGCCTCTTTTTCCTGGTTCGACTGTTGAAGATGAACTGCACTTAATTTTCAGACTTCTGGGTAAATGGATACTTTTAGCAGTAATGTTAATGCTATATGTTTGTTCTAAACACTTTTTCCACGAGAACTGTAGATCTTTATCTATAAACAATGATATTTTATATTGCATTGTAATTAAGGTGAATGTACTCTTGATGAAAAATTATTGAGCTGAGTGCGCAGCTGAGTTTATACAACATAGACTCATTAAGTGTTTTTTTTTTTTTCTTTCTTTACGGTTTAAATTACAGGATTAAATGCTTATTTATGTCAAAGTTGGTTTTTTACATTTGTTTAAGTTGAATTTGTTGCTTTTTCTTAAATGCAGGAACCCCATGTCAAGAAACATGGCCAGGCATTTCTTCCAGTGATGAATTTAGAAACTACAACTTTCCTAAGTATAAACCACAACCCCTCATCAACCATGCACCAAGGTACTTTGTGTTTTATTAATAGAAAATATACATCCCTGTGGCTTTGCATATTTGTAAGTGTGAAGATGTTTCCAAGTACGTTCTGCTACTGAATGCTGGAAAAGTACACGTCAGTTGTGTTATTGTGGGCAGACAGTAATGCAAAGCATAATCCTGGTACTATGTGATTACTTTGTCTAATATCATTCAAGGTACCATAGCTCCTTAATGACCTATAGAGCTATAAACTCTGATTAATAATGCCTGCATAGTAGGAGTATTCACACAGCACTTCCTAAATAACCCAGATTCTCTTCTGTTATATAATAGGCCCATTGTTAAAATGGCAAGGTTTCCTTGAGCAGTCTCTTGAAATCATTCTAAAACCATTATGAGGAATTTGAAGGATCTGCACAGTTGTTATAAATAAACTTTATGACAAAGACTACAACATTTTTTTATCAATTTTGAAGAAAAAGATCTAACATTTTGTCCTTCTATTAAATGAGTAGTGTTAGGTTTTTAAAAAAAAAAAAACAAACCAACTTTTTTTGCCGAAATAAATGATCCAGGTTAACCTAGTAAATCACAATCCAAAACTCAGGATTTGTCTGTCCCCAGTGTTTTTCAAATAGTCTTGTTCTGAGATATTGGTACTTGTATGTATACATATTAACATGCAGAAAAGTTGTTTAGGTGAAAGCATTTCCATGTTTAAATTTAATTTTCAGGTTTGATATCATTGAATGAAGTCAGTTCCTTTGCAGTTTTGTTTTTGTAAATATAGTTCAATAACTTTTAATTTTTAAAAATATTTTTATTTTTAGGCTAGACACGGAAGGAATTGAATTGATAGCGAAGTTCCTTCAAGTAAGATGTGTTTTGTGGCTTTACTTTATAAAAGTGCAAGTTTAATGCTGAGTCTGTAATGGATGACAGATTTGGGAAGAATGACAGTTTGGGGAAGCCTCTGTACTGTAAGAATTTAAAACTTGATGTTTAATTTTTTTTTTCCCAGAAGTGATTTCTTCTCTTACTACGTTTTGTAAAAATAGAACTGATTCTATGTTAGCCATTCCCTGAAAAAACTAAATCTCTTGTGAAATACAGCATTAAACCAGAACTTTTAAATACAAGTACTAAATTTCTGTAACGATGAACTTGGCTTACTCCTAGAGAAGCAGTTACTAAGGTGTAATATTACTCTTTGATCTTGCAAACTGTATTCAAAAGGTGAAGTGGTATGTGGGTTTAATCTTTTAATCTGTATTAAAAATGAGCCAGAAGCAAGAAGAGGGGAAGCAAGATGGAAGGCCAACTCTTTAAGTTTTTGAGTAGATGCAGAAGCACTGTAACTTCACAGTGTTAAAAATTCTTAGTACAGAAGGTGAAGTGCAGTTACTCTGCTTTGCAGCCTGTGATTTAAATTCTACATCAGGTCTTCATCTGTTTACACATTGTCTCAGAACAGTACTTGCAGTCCTTGTTTGGACTTTTTTCTTATCTGTATACAGCTTTGTAAATGTCTGCATCTTTGTCCAAATGTCCACATATGCCAAGCAGTAGACATTTGAGCACAGATTGAAGACCATGTTGCCTAAAGTTCCATTTTATGCAAAACACTGCAGCGTAGTCCATTGAATTAGAAAACCTGTGTTCTCTGTAATAGCTTTTTATTGCAATTTAATATTAGAATATAATGTAGACAGAAATCTGTCATCTAATCATTGTTACATCTATAAATAAAGAGTAAGTATATTTTTGACTTGCATCCATTTACAGCAGTTATTTTGACTATTTTAGCAATCTCGTTACATGTTGATAACGCTGATTTAGATAACATATGTTAGATTTTCATGTGTGAAATAAAAGTAATGAAAACAAATTTGTCCTAGTGAGTTGGCGGGAAATATTGAGCAACTAGAACTCTATTTCTCCCTTTGATGAAATCACTTGATGCAAAGAGTTTTTTAATGAAAACCAACACGCTTGTGTCCTTTTATGTTAATAGTATGAATCGAAGAAGAGAATTTCAGCAGAAGAGGCCATGAAACATGCGTACTTCAGAAGTCTTGGAACAAGAATACACACTTTGCCTGAAAGTAAGAGGAGTAGTAAAGTAGCAGAGTATTGTTAAGACAGTACATTAAACTAAGTACATTGCTTAAGGAAAAACTCTCAAGTCTAATCTATTAAAGAACTCTGGTATATCTTGACCTGAATATTTGGGAATAGGAAACTTTTTTTAATCTAAACTGTATAATTAAAATAGAACTTTGTGCAGTAAAGCATATTTATGTTTGGATATGAATTAATGTCTTTGTTACATTCCAGGTGTTTCAATATTCAGTCTAAAAGAGATTCAGCTGCAAAAAGACCCTGGTTTTCGAAATTCCACTTACCCAGAGACAGGTATGGAAAGCTTAATGTTTTCTCATATCTGCAAATGGAATGCTGTGCCAGAGACATTCGGAACTGAAAAATACTTTGTTGAATTGGTTTGTGTGAATGTACTCAAACAAATATCAAGAATTACTTGCTCAGATTCCTGTAGAGACACATAAGCTAAATGCGTAGAAGGAGGTGAGTTTTATTAGGTATGGGCAGAGGGACTGTTAGTATGGGAATGTCTTGGAGTTTCAAACCATTACTGTGTGGATGAATGGTGGCAAAGTGAAAAACATTTTTAAAAGTGCAACAAGTGCAGTTAAAAAGAGATCCCAATATTGGTTTAAGCACAAAAGATACTCTCTTGAAAAAGAGCGACAGAAGATGTAGATAGTAACTGAATAGTCTGTTGTGCAAACGCTTCGGTTTCTTACTATGGTCCGTGTTCTGTTGTAGGACATGGGAAGAACAGAAGGCAGAGCATGCTTTTTTAAAGTGGGCGATGCAGAGTCAAGCCCAAGCCTATCCTATCAATCAAGGACTCGGATCTGAAGGCGGTGCTCTCTGTTGGTGGACTTGGAATCGCAGTTTGTCTACACTGTCCTCTTCACAGTGGAGTCTTTTTATTTCCAACCTGCAGATTATGTTTTTATATTTGTTGTCACAGTGTGACAATTTTTTGTACAGTTGGTTTTAAGGTCTCCTCTGCCACTAGAGCCAGTAGGTTACAGCTGTTGATGTAACTGTAGCTGCAATTTTTGTGCAGGACTGAGAAACACAGTGCATTATTTATTGCGGAATCATTGCTGCTAAATAACTACTGTCTGTATAGTTAACACAACAGTTCCATGCCTGAAGAAGTTGCAATGGCTTTATAATATGTGAATGCATCTGTTTCTCTTCATAAAATGTTCTACTGCTGCGGGGTTTTTTTGTATTTCTTAAACTGCAGTGTTTCCTGGAATGTAAACATAGCTTTGCTTGGCTATAGGTGAACCATCTTTAATGCTCTAAGTTCATGGCACTTAATTCCTTATTTAACATTGGAAATATGTGTTGAAGTAGTTGAAAAATTATAATGCATATTATGTTTTTGAAAAGCACATGGTGTGAAAGTTGATTCAAACAAGTGAACAGTAACTATTCTTTGCTCTCAGATCCTACATTAGTTATCGATAAATTAGAGCATGGAGACTGGATGATAAATTTTGTCAGGCTTACTCCAGCATAAGATATTTGCACGTTGTTGTGCATACGAGGCCTGCAGAAGCAATGACTTTTTTACCTTGTTTTTAACGTAGAAATACAAATAGTGAAAAGACGATTCATATACGTTGGACCCTGGCTTACTTTTGAAATTTAGAATTTCATTACAGAGGAACAGGGCATTACAAGATTACAAGAACATGGGAATAATGTCACACTTTTCCCACCTTGTTGCTCTCCCATTTGTGCATTATTCACTTGAAATCAACTGGAAAGATGCAAGTTTGTACTTGATAAGAACTCACTATACTACAGAGCTTTTACAATGGGAACTTAGAGAGTTTTTCAGATCTTAGATGTTATCTGTTTACCAGAGATAGTAAACATGTTATTACTATGCTTATGCATCTCAGTGAGTATCATAAGTACACCCTTGGTGATGGTTACAGTATTTTTAAGCATTTGTGTTCACCTTTATGAACCTATTTGTTTAGTGCATCTTAAAGAGACTGTAAATCTTTATTGGTATATTTTGAAATGGTCATGTAAATCTTTGGCTGGTATATCATGAAAATAGTCATAGGTAACTTAATTTTTCCTGACATTCACTGTAAAACATTCAGGGGTCCTACCATTTCTGTTCAGGAAATCTTGTAGTTTATTGTTATTTAACAGTATTAAGTGAATTTTTGTATATTTCATTTTAACTTTATTTGTGAATAGTGATTGTGGCATGTTTGGGGGTGTTTTATTAATATTTCATTGATACTGGTAAATTTGAATTGGGATTTTTTTTATTTTCTGGAAGAGAGAAATTCATGTGTAATGGTGACTATTGGACCACTACTGCTTTTCAGCATTTGTAAACCGGTTTTACGTTAAATCTTGTAGACCTAACAAACTGCTGTTATTTCTAACTGACCGACCTGTATTAATATTGTACTTTTGAAAGTATAAATATTATGTGGAGTTCTTTGGTTTTGTTTTGCAATTTATAATAACAAAGGCCCTGTGTTGTTAAAAATACAGACTAAGTGAACTTGCGGTTCTTGGGGCATTGTTGGAAATGTTTAGCTAGCTCGGTGTGTTGTGGGAGTCATCAGTTTTAACTTTGGCCGCTTATTGATTCGTGCAACGCCGAAGTAGTGGCAGTGGAAAGTAATGTGGCTCATCCGTGACTGAGGCCGTTCAGGATCTTATTGTAGACATGGTCTATAGTCTAATTATTAGCAAGCAAGTCCTGCATGTCGCCTGGTATCGGAAGTCTTGCCGAGGTCTAGGAGTGTAATACGTGTCTCGGGTACATGCGTGGGTCTCCCGCTGATGCCAGTGGGACCCTTACGTGTGTCTCGGAGGCAGATCTGGCACTGATGAAAAACCTTTGTCCTGAAATAGTTGTTATATATATTTTTATAGTAGCTATGGATCTGATCTAGATTTTATACTGATTAACTTTGTAGGAAATACGTTGTAGACGTGATGGTGTTGAAGAAAGAAGTATCAGAAAAACATCTCCTTTTTTTACAAAAGTAGTGAAGCTATAGATTAAATGTTCACTGTGGGTAAATGTGGGATTTAGCATTTCTAGAACAGAAATACTTTATAGATCATAAAAGAACAAGTAATAATGTGGCACTAATGAGTAAAGGACTTAAAGGTTTAACCTGTAAAATGAAGTGCATTAATAAATTTAGAAAGGGATCAGCTGCAGCTAACAAAAGGAGGTTTCCATTTTAAGTAGGAATTCAGCTTTTTTGTTACAGATGAAAAGATCTTCCATAAAATTAAAGCACTCTCTCTATAAGGACATTTTTTCTAAGGACCTACAAGTGAATCGGTTTTCTTCATTAGGAGGTAGCTTTAAAGAATGTATTTCTTAAGCAACTTGGCATCTGTGGTCAAGCCATTTTTTTTGTTTTGTGGTTTTTTTTTTTGGGGGGGGGGGGGGGTGGTGTTTGGTTTTCTTCTATTATTGTCTATAATTGAAATTCCTGCATCAGCAGAGACAATTCGGTGGCAGCTGCCTGTTTGGGGCAGTAGTCAGCGAGTCTGAAGTCGCTGGGCATTTCTCTGACATCCTTTTCGTGCAGTTCAGTGTTCTGCCTCCTGCCTGACAGCATCAGGCACCATGGAATTGGTTTCGCGGTCCCCGAGAGCTGTAGGGACCGTTGGTCTTTTTGGGAGAAGACCTCAACCATGATGAAAACCAAGCAGATAGTCACTAAAAACGGATGACTTTCAAGATTTGCTATGACAACCTTCACTTGAAGGTGAGTGATCAGTTAATGAGAAATGGCCTGCAAGTTGTTGCTGATGAAGTAATTCTTTTAGAAGATAACCAGGTGTATCCCGTCAACCCCGGGGTAGGAATGCCAAGGTGCGTGTATAGGTGCGTGTATAGGTGCGTGTAGGAATACGGTGGGCTTGAAGATGGGAAAGAGGCAGGTGGCGATGAGGTTGCATGCACACGCAGGTGAAGGTGGAAGGGGAGAGAGGGTGGGTGGCGGACGGGAACGGACAGGAGAGGACAGAGCGGGAGCCTGAAGGGGCAAACCAGCTGCTCAGCAATGCTCTAGTGGAACGTGCATCTCAACACGGCTGTGTTATTTTTGTGCTGCTTTACCACAGCATTAAGTAGCCAGAGTGTATCCCTGAATTGGGCAATAAAAGTTAAAATAAACAATTATTAAAGAATCAACATACTTTGTATTTGCAAATCATTTGAAGCGCTGCAAGGTAGCATTCTTCCGGCTGCTTGCTTGTTGTTTGCGCATGAGTTTTTCAGTGTAATAAAGGTACGTTGTCTCTGTTTTGCAATGTTAAGGGGGAATTAAGGTTAAGAATACATTCAGTTGTTGAGGACAAAATATATGAAAGGTATGTTGTAAATATCCTGAAGCTAAGTATTATAAACCCAGGAAATACCCAGAATTAAGGTCAGATTTGAAAGAAATCCAAACAAATGAGGGTGTGGAAATGCACAGCTGTAGCCTATAGTGACCCTGAAGAAAAATGAGAACTTAGCTTTTCTGTGACAACATGTGGTCACAGGCATTTGGTCCTTTTATCTGGTCACTAAGGGGCAGGGCTGAAATAATTTGTGCACCTTGTTAGCACATTTCAACACCTTTTTTCCCTTAGTAAAGTTTGGCTTTGAAACAAATGCAACATTTCTATGAAATTTCTTAAATTTGGGGAGAAACTTGAATATTTACTTTATACAGATTTTTTTATTCCTTTTCAGAGACTGGGCCTTTAGAGATTTCGTGCTACTTTTTGGCCTGTATGTGGGTCAGCAACATCCACGTATCTCACCAACATCCACGTCAGACCGATTTAAGAGACTGACAAGATAACAAGTATAGATTATAAAACAAAGGTAGCGCTGTACAAGAGTTTAGCTAATTGGTACCTTGTAAAGCAAGCTCTGGCTGTACAGGTAGGATGATTTTGAAAAGTATAAAAGCCAAGTAGGTATGTGGGCTTTGTAATTCATACTATACAGCCTTTTCATCTGTGGAGTTCAGTTGCAGAGAAATCAAACCCTTGTTCTCGGCCACAGTGGAAATCCGTGTTGTCAGAACTGGGATTAGAGGTTAGCTATTCTAGATTTTTTTTTTTTTTAATCTTTTGTGTGTGATTTTCACTGGGCTATACTGCGCCTTTCTCGTTAACTGAAAGACAAAAATTGATGCCAGTGGAAAAACGTGTACCTTACAGCTTTCCATTATTTTCACATGTTTTCTAACATCCCTTCACTCATTTAAGTTCTGTAATTTTTGACCCAACTTAAGCTGTGAATGCATACATGTGCACATACTTACTGATGTAAATAACTGCTTAATTTATTGTCCTGGCTGCATCCTCAAAAATCACTTCAGAAGCAGGCCTGCCTGAGCAGATTGCTCTTATGGTCCTCCTCATGAAATACGAGTCTGGTTCAGCACAGATGCCGTACCTTGAAACACGTTTTTCCCCAGAGAGCTATGAAGTTGCTTCATTTGCTGCAGTGGGATCTTCTTGCTGATGGAAGCACCATCGCTGCAGGTTGTAAACCGGGAAGAAGGCTCTTCCCCATCCCCTCTCCAACACGGTCTTGCGGAGCACCTCCCTCTGGGCCCCGCACGGCAGCTGCTCCTCCTCTTTCACACACTGAGCTTCTTTTTTCAAAGACTTTTTTTCCCTTCTTCCATGTCCTTTAACTTGTAGGAGGAGGCAGCTGGCCTGGAGCCACGTGAGGAATAATTTAAGGTTACGTTTATCCATTCACACTTCTTGCAGAGTGAACGTGAACTGATGGGAATCTTTCAAGGAAAAAACCAACATATCCTAGATTCTTCTCCTCTAGGATGCTTTTCTACAAATACCCGCCCCAAGGCAGGCTGTGATGCTGATTCCTCCAGAGTCCTTGCTGAGGTTCATTCTACTTTTTTCATTTAAATACATTTATACTCCTCCTCACTAATGCTGTCAATCTCTTTGCCCTCAAGAAATAGGTTTGTACTCCATCCGTGTAGGCAGAGCACTCAACGTATTAACTGGTAAGGAGCAGTTACACTTTGGGGCTAAAAGGGATTTCAAAAGTTGTAGTTTCCTGACGACTTCGTAGAGGTTTGCTTAAATCTGAGTGCCCTGTGTTTGTTTATGCTACAGGATATAGAGGCAGTCTCGAGATCAGAAGGGAACAGCGATGCCCTTACGTAAAAGACTACCTGTAGTTACCGTGCCTGTTCTGAATTCATTTGGTAGTCACGATGGCTTCTAAAGGTGCTTCCTGTAGGCGCAAGATCACACAGCCTCTTAATGTAGAGACTTGTTCTGTTAAAATTAAATGCTATAATCTGTTTTAAAAGACCACCTCCCCTTTAAACAGTCATCTTGTTGACACTTCGCTCCTTCTTTGGTAGGTATTTCCAGACTGGCAAGTGCCTGTCTGATGAGACTGGTTTTCTTCAGACAAAACAAATTGTTCTTCGTTGACGTAATGGACGTGTGTCAAATCTTGCTTTTTCTGTAGCTGGTTATCACCCATCGCTGTTTTCCCCACCTTGAAAGTTTTCTTTAGACCTGAAGCCACTCACCTGTGCCAGAGCAGAGGATGCGTGCCATCTCTTGGCAAAGCTACCCCGTAGCTGTGGCCCTACGGGTGGATACTTGCTTTTCTGACAAAACAATGTAAAGGTAAGCCAAAAAAGAGCCTAATCGTGCACCCAACCTATATAATATTAAAAACTTTTTGTGTATTGCTGAAGTATGAATAAAGTGTAAATCTATCCAAAAAAAATCCCTCAAGTATGATCAAATTGCAATTAGTACCAAGAATACTGAAGAAAGAATAACTCCCGTTTTGTTCCCCAGGATTGTTGGTTCGGAGCTCTCCATGCCACAGAAATATTGACACTTTCACAGTATTTATTTTAAAAACATTTATTTCATTTTTCTCTATAGTTAAAAAGATATCTGTTAATAAAATTCAATAGAAAATTACCAATAGAATATTTTCTTTGAAGCATAAGGCATAATAATCTAGTGGTA